TAAAAATATAGAAAAATAAATTAATATTATTTTAAATTCTCTTGATAACTAATACTTTATGTATGAAAGTATGTATATTGTATTCTCAAGTCATAAACCAAATTACCTAAATTATTTTACATAGTTCAATATTAATTAAAAATACGTTCATAATATTATAAAACTAAGTATAACACGAGGTATAATATTATTCTAGAATGTTTTTTTAGCAATATTTCATAAAGCAAACAAAAACATTTTACGAATATAATAACTAAAACCTACTGACTGAGTTGCAAATACTGAATACTTTAGGTAGTATGTGTATACTTAATTTTCTACACTTTCAAAGGACTTCAAAACAAATTCTTTGAATACATTATATGCTTTGTCTAAGGACTCGTTTATAATAATACAATCAAAGTTTCCAGGCGTTTCTCCTAAAAAAATATATGATGAACATGATATGTTAAGTATGCAGTTGTTTATCAGTTTTAATTAATATACTAACCGTAGTTGATTTCCTGTTGAGCGACATTCAGTCTGGCTCGTAGATTATCTTCAGACTCTGAATTCCGCCTGCGCAATCGTACTTCGAGTTCACCAATACTGGGAGGTTTGACAAATACACAGACCGGTTTCAGGGAAGTCACATTTTTTATTTGAATGACTCCTTGCATGTCAATATCAAGAACACAAATCTTGCCAGACTTTTGAACATTTTGTACTGCTTTGAGGCTGACATCATTAGACACATWAAAAATAAAATAAATAATATGGACAATGGAGTTGCACTGAAAAACTCGGATAGAAGCCAACATTACCTGGTACCATACATATTGTTAGAGAAGATGGCGTGTTCTAAGAAGTCTCCTCGTTCGATAGCTGCTTGCATCTCGTTTTTGGTAGTGAAGTGGTAGTGTTGGCCATCCACTTCAAAACGCCTCGGCGATCGTGTGGTATGCGACACCGAAAAGCCAAACTTGTCAGGATATTCGTCAAACAGCTTGCGAAGGAGCGTCGACTTGCCGGAGCCCGACGGACCGCAGACCACCAACAGCCGAGAGTTCTGTCGCACCATTTTTGTCGTGACACCTATTATAGTACAATATGATCACACGGAAAAGGTTGAAGGAAACTGTGCGAAGTGGTTTCTGCAAACACAATTGACAACTAATAAGGCTTTGAACAGTCGGATAAGGTAGGAACGCGCGGGAATATTTTTGTTGATAAATGATAATCGATATTATTTCGGATGCTTTTCACTCGTGTGTACTAGGTATATTAGCCACTTTTATATATATATATATATATATTTATATATAGCTGTATCTCCTACGAAAGCGAATTAAAATAGAACAAAAACTAAGTTGACGTAAATCACGCGGTTGTACGAAATTACACAAACGAAATTATATAGTAATAATATTATGTAAACATTCCACACAGACGTGTGCTATCTGCAGCGATACCAAATTACCAAACACCGACAACAAAATATAGAACACAWACAACCACGGAACACGGTTGAATTTTGTTACGATTTCGCGGTAATAAACAAAAACAGTGATGCGATTGAGAGACGAGAAGAATTCGCGCAATAATTACTATATAATTGATGGGACAAGATTGGTACGAATCAGGTGTACCGCATAGAGTAATACTCTATCATGGTGTACCGTCACACGTCTACGGGAAGTATGGATTTTGGGAACGAGCAACGAGTGAAAAACGTCACGCGAAGAGCGGCGCCGGTAAATAACGTACACCGACCAATAGGTACACGTTGTTTCGGAGTACACATATTAAGGTAACGGTATACCTATTACCTCCACACCGTGCGACCATAGATAAGTAAAAGTATGTGACAATATTGTGATTGAACAGTGAGCAGTGACGGCGCTGGTTGGATGTTCGACGCCAGACGCCTTCTATCAGTCGCATCTAAATCCTCACCTCTTATAATCGCGAGCGGGGTCCGCCAAAACATAATGTTATTATTATTTTTATTATCGCAGAAACGGTCTGTCGTCTACAATTATTAGTAAACACTGTAGGCGCCAGCCTGCTGCTGCGGTGTAGTCGTTTGTTTTTGTGCTTGGTACTTTGGTCGAGTAATCGTCAGTGAATTCGTCACTCGAGCGTCGCGATTAGAATGAAAAAAAGCAAACTTAAAACGTTACCTGTCCTGTGCGCCTGTGCAGTAAGTTGGCACTTGGCAGACGGAATTCGACGGGTCGGCGTGACGATAACGTGGAGTAAGTTGTGACTTGTGAGTTCGACCGTTTGACGGGGACGGACGAGCCGCGAAATCGGATACGATACGCTTCCCTACGACCATCCGAGCACGGGCCACGGACATTCACGTTCGGCGCCACTGCGCATTGCGCACAGCTGCTACCGTTTTCCATTATCATTTATCACTTAATCAAATAATATCAGTGCCCATGCCTTATCGGTTACGTACTCACGTGTGTACCGCGTCTCGTCTCGACTTCCGAGGCCCGAGCAGAGCTGCTGCTGCACACCGTTTGCTTCTGGCTTCGGTGACACTGCAGTCGTGCGCGCCGATGAGTTGGGTCGTTGGGATAGTCTTACGCCACCCGTACGCTGAGCACACATAAATATTAAATAACGATTCTCGTTTATGACTAAACTTTAGACCGTGTGCACATCAATATTTTTGCGCCATGACGTCGTCGTCGTCGTCGTCGTCCGAACAAGAGCTTCACGGCGTTCCACTGGTTCAGAAATTCAACGCGAAGGTGAGTAGTAGACAGTAGTGGTCTGGCAATCGGACGTGTGCCGTCCAGTACGTGCGTATTTATATAAATAATTCAGTGGCGTAGCTCGAGTACTTCCCGATACTATAGTAAAGATTAAAAATGATATACAATTATAAATTTTAAGGCATCCTCCCTAGCAAAATCCTGACATCCTAACAATGCTTCTAATTATAATATATTAATATCTATATGCAGCTAAAGTTATATTTTATTACATCTACACCGCTTGTTAATAATTGATTTGGTACTTTCCTAGTGACTAAGACCTAGTTTCGCGTTTTAGTTGAACAAGAATTCGGCTATTATTACGACTGATAAAATATCTTAAATTCTCATAAATATAACTAGTGATAAAGCCGTAACAATTATCTCTGGGTTAGGTTAGGTAATTCTTTCACAATACCTTTATCATTAACACCAAATATTTTATGTTTATTCCCTTTGTAATTTAATTTTGAATTTTCTAAATTTATGTACCATTGTGGCAAAAGGAAGTAACCTATCCAACGTAGAAAATAATGAGAAACGAAATGTTAAGAACTAGATACTATACCTATGGTATTATGATTATTATAGATACAACTTTTATGGATATCTGTTTTCAAATCTGAATTTTGAGAACATTTCATAAACTAGTTTTTTAATTCGTGAACCTAGGTTTCAACGGCACCACTAAAAGACTTCGTCGTTTTTTTTAAATCTTTAGAAAACAACGATGGGAAAATTTAGGTATATTACTGTMTTAAATAACATGATTGTGATGTTTCACAGAACAAGGTACTTATAATCTTCCAAAACTCTTCCAAATATATATACATTGGCTATCCACGAATGAACTGCTGAATCTTTGATAAAATGAAAACGGTATGACAATTTACGAATAGTGGCGTAGCCAGAGTGGGTATTGGTGAGCTGCAGCCCTCCTCTACAAAATTTTAAGAAAATAAAAAATTATGTCTATGACCTACAAAAGTAACTACGAAATAACGAAAAAAAATACTTACCTAATACTTACCTGAGTCTTCACTTTTTGGATTTTTTTTGGCGTAAACGTGCAATTTCAATTTTATAACATGGGGTGGTAATTAGCAGGAAATGATACACATTAACATAAAAAAAAATTGATAGTGTAAAAATTTTTAAAAGTTATAGTCGTTATACATTTTTGGTTGTATTGCAATTGGTACGTATTTGCGTGGCGTATACCATATACGGTATATGTACGGCGTACGCGGCCCAATCAACGCACAACATTGCCGTGAACTTTGTTAGTGACATGCGCTCAAAATTTCGACTTAATGACTTGAATGTATAGTTTGAATACAACAGTTGGTCGTTTTCCATGGCTGTGGCTGCAAAGTCCCCCCCCCCCAAGTAGAAATAGTCTACCTAAAGGAAGAAAATAATTGGAAAGTCTAACCTGATCTGAAATAAACATAATACACAAACCCTTATCACTAACACAGATCAGTTCAGAGCCAGGCACGTAGTATTGTAGTAAGAAAATATTCATTAGGAGGGTCAATGTTAGGTGGGCCCCCTTCTTCCCGACATTGTATATTATAAAATGGTAGTTATCAGCATATCATTACTACTGATATATAAGTATATATAACCTAATGAGTAATGATACCATATTTTATCATTTTGCCAGTAACTATAAGTATAATAATAAAAAAAAAATTTAAATACATAAATAAAAATAATGCTTTTAATAATTATTATGATAATAAAATCCAAATATTTAATACATATAAACACAATTTTTAAATGAAATACAATAAATATAATATAAGTACTAATATAAAAGTATTTTTCTATTTTTATGTTTTGTGGAAAATCTATTGAAAATTTGAAAACAATTAAAAGCCATTATATAATAATGGGCCCCCCTGAATACTTTGGCTGGGCTGGCCTAAGGCCAGACACATATTAGGGTGGRCCAGGCACATCCTGGCCCTCCCTTGGCTACGTGCCTGTTCAGAGCAGTTTTTTTRTGCACTGTTTGCACAGCGCAAAATATGTACATTACTATAACTTAGTATATTTTACTGTACAGCCTAATAATATTTGAATCACTTCTAAAACAATAGTTACCGTAAAACGCTTTTTATTATGTCAYTTGAATCATAAAAATAAGTGTAACCTAACCATTGTATGAGGCTAGTAAAGAAATTTTAGCCACAATAATTAATATAAATCAAGTTTTTATTCTTAGAAATACTCGTAGWTATTTTTTAAGATTATTATTCATTTTGTTTTTACTAAATTATTTTAATACATTGTGTGAAAACATTTTCTTAATACAATTATGAACACTTTGGAACCTGAATTTCTGATAATTGCACTAATCATTTTACAATTCTTAATAATTGTTTTTTATTGTACCTATATCTAATAATTGATATTTTTATATTTTTATATTATTCTATAATAATTATGTATATCTTTATATTTTATTGAAATTAATATATTATCTAACTGCATAAATAAGTTTGCATTTGAAATAAATTCTTTGTATTATTCCACTTTTAATATTAACATTGTTATGTAGCCATCTCAGTATCTCACAAATAAAAGTCATTAGAAATATGAACTTGTTTACAAAGGTTCATTTTGAGCAATAATAATTATGTTTTTATATCTTATAAACAAAGTTCAATAATTAAATAATATTAGTAGGTACATAATAATATTTCTATGAATAAATAATATTAGTTGGCATAAATATTCAAATATCCATATAGATATAAATATAATTTTAGTGTTTGAAATGATTAATGAAAATAAAATCATACCACTAAATTTATCAATTATTTGTTTAGGCATTAGAATTTAATACTTCATTAGAGCAAAAGTGGATAAATTTCAAAAAAGAATATGAAGAGTTGTATACATGCTTGGAAGAGTTTCCTAAACAGTTATCTGTTCCAATATTGATGCCAATTGGACCAAAAGTGTTTGTACGTGCACAATTATGTAATACTAATGAAGTGTTCATTAGATATAATGATGTTTTCACTAAACAGAGTGCTTATGAAGCTAAAGCTGTTTGTGAAAGACAAATTAAAAGTATGTATTATTTATCTTCTTCTTTTCTAAAGGCTTAGCCTTGTCATTGTTAAAAAAATAGATCTCCACTCCTCTCTCTGTAATGCCAGAGTCTTCATATGTGAATACCCGTTACATCCAGCCATTCTAATCATATCTCCTATGAATGTTTTCCTTGGTCTTCCTCTTCCTTTGCGTCCATTGATTCTTCTGATTGAAGTCCTCTAAGTTTTCCTTTTCTTGATCTAATGATGGATAGTAAAACTCTCTTCTCCTCTACTATTTGGAGAATTTCTTTGTTGCTCTTCGTCTCAGTCCAACTACTACGAAGTAATCTTCTTCAGATCCACATTTCCATTGGTTTGGTTTTTTTTTTTATCTTGTGCTATTTATAGAATCAAAAAACATTTTTATTCAAGTTGATAATGTTATTAGGGTGTGATAATATGATTGAAGATTTGAGAAAAGAAAAAAAATTGTTCACGGATAATATTTGTGCTAGACAAGATGTTGTTAATGTTTCAGAAAATTTAGTAGAAATAAATGAACCATACAATGAAGCAGAAGAGGCAGCTTGGAGAGGTAAGTATTGTAAAATAAATAATTGTACTAACAAGATTGTTATGTAATGGAATTAAATATATATATATTTATACATTAGAGATACATAGGCAGAAAGTAAAAGAATATAAGAAACGTTTAGCAGATGAAAAAGAGGAATTAGAACGTCAACAACGTCAAAAAATATTAAATGAATTTAAATCAGTAGGGTTTGATGATAAACTTAGTGGATTAAATAGACCGACACTTTTTACAGCATCTAAAGTACACTATACAATTATGAATGGGTTTGTCTTGATTAATTTTTTTTATTAATAATATTATTAACAATTTTTATATTTTTGAATATTTTGTTAATACTTTTTATAGAGAAGACAATGATGGCAGTTGTTCTAATGTGGATGATGATGATGATGATGATGATGACGACGAAGATGACGATTATGATGATGAGGATGATGATGAGGAGGAGGAGGAAGAGGAGGATGATGATGACGATGATGAAGAAGAGGATAGTAAAATAGAAATTGTTTTCAGCAATGATATACCTGAAACTACTGGAGCTATAAAAAAGAAGAATAAAAAGCAAGTGTCATTTAATAATGATGTTCAAATAAAAGAATTTGTACCAAGGCCAGGAGAACATTTCATTCGTCGAAGGGAAGAAACAGAATCTATAAGGCCTGAAGTGAGTACCTATAATAGTTTACATTATCTTAAATATTAACACATATTCAAAATGCCCCAATAGTTATACAATGAAAAATAAGAAAATATACTTTATTGTGTGGTCAGTTAAGTTTTTACATAGTTATTTAGAGAACACTTAATCTGCGCGTGTTATATTGTGTAGTCATTTGAAATATTAAATTAAATTAGTAAATCATTTAATTTAAAGGTAGGAAATAAGAATGTTATATTGGCTTTTTTTATTGATTATTTTGTCAGTTTAACAATGTAAAATATTAAAATTTGAAAATGCTCATAAATTTATTTTKAAATTTAAACACCAATAAAAGTCTACTTTGTCCAGTGAGAGAACATGTCGATTTTGCGCATCTCTTGTTATCCAAATCGATTCACCTAATCTTCTATGACAAATTATAAGTGTAACATTTAAACAATTTGTTGTGATTTCCATTTTTTCAGTATTGCAAGTTGCTACTCTACCATCATCTATGTATATATAAAATTAGAAACTAAACTACTTGATGAATATTAAAATTCCTATATTTTGTACATTTTAGATACTTGTTACGGAAATTGATGACATTGTAGAAAGAGTATCTGATACATGTCTGCAAAATGAAAGTGATGATAAAGAAGAAAATTCAAGACCCATTAGTAGGTTTAAATCTAACCGAAATAAGTAGGATCCATAAACATTAAATAGTGTATGTAAATATATATATATTTTTTTTTTATTTGGTTAATTTAAGCAGCTAATAAAGCTATTGTATACATAATTATATATTTGTATATAAATGATAAATATTTAAATTATACTACTAGAAATTATAAACTGATTAAAAACCACTATTTTATAATAAATCATAATCATTAAAATCTATGGTTTTTTTTTTTAATATATGAAATAATTTATACATATTTATGATTTTCAGTTCAAAATGTTATATATATATGTAATATAAAGCAAGAATTTTATTGTTTCAAGGAAAATATTTTCCATAAGATATAGTAATTATGATTAAGTTTGTGAAAATAAAATAATGTGCAAAATTAACAAGGCATGAAAAGAAATGGTAAACATAGTAAAACTTTTAACTTAAAACTAATTATAGTTTCAACATAAAGAGTACTTATGTATAATGAAGTGTAATATTATGAAATATGACTTGTATTAAGTCAACAATGTTAATATTTAACTTAAAAATAATTTACAATCAGATTTAAATTATATTTTTTACAAACTGCATTATTTAATTAATTATAATTAATACCCGTTCAAAATACAGTTTCCTTCACAACCAACCATTACTTATATGTACGACAAACAATTATATTGTATCTTCTATAATATATTATAGTAACCATCATAAAAAAATACTTTGATAAATATATTTTAATTATTACACGATAAATATGAAGGACGGTAACACTAGTGCATACCTAAAAAAACTAAATTATTTTTAAGTTAAATTATATGAACATTATTTGCATTCATTTACTGACATTTTATTAAATACAATTTTGTTTTGTAAAAAAAAAATATATATATAAGTGAGTAACTTATAAACACTTTTTTATAAAACATTTTGACAAAAATAATAAACAGATGGGTTAATTTTTAATATCCCATAGRTAAGTATAGGAATTGCTTACAATACACCAAATTACGCACAGGTTAAATAAATTTTAAGTAAAAATGTTGTATTAAATATAATATATTCTAATAATTATTGTTATTACAATTTCACTTTGTTTTTTTTTATCGATTTGCGTCACATACACTGTAAACAAGGCTATTATTATTAGTGATTAAATTAATGTGTTAACATAATTTTGTACTTTACAACCTAATACTGTAGATTAACAATTATGGTAACACAGGGATATATTATTAGTAAACATACTATGCTCTTACCACAAACTGTTGAGCAAATGTGTAAAGTGACAATAGTGACTGATAATACATAAGATTGTAAGCACCAACTAAAATGTGTTCCTATACGTCATTAAACCACACTATTAGTACATAATTAAACATTTAAAAAACAATGAAGTATCAACTTGAACTATGTTAATAGTAATATAATTAAGTGATAAAAAAAATTATAACGTGTAAATTAACTTAAAATATGAACAGTAAAACCTATATTGGTTTTGACTAGTATATTTCAGACCACATAATATTTTAGCTATACAATGATATGACAAAGTTTYGGGAACTTCTGTTTCTAATAAGTAACTAGAGTACATTGAATTCTGTTTTATTACATTTATTTTCTCATAGTTATTATGTGACTTTAATTTAACTAGTTAGTTTGATCATTATGGTTAAATGGATAATGAGTATTCATAATTAAGCTTATTAGCATACTTAAGCCCTTTTTAAAATAATTAAGAAAGAAAGGAATATTATAATTTATACTTTTAGTTAAGATATTGAATTGATTGAATTCATAACTAGCATCTTTACAAAGTTATGCTCGAGAATATATAATACATAATTACATTGAAAGCTTTTAGTTTTAATGATTTAGGCATAGAAATAACTTAAATTTTGAAAAGCACCACAGCTTTTTATTTGTTAGCTGTGTAAAGCGCATAATTATCTATTTTAAGTGGACGGCCAATAAAAAAACGACTTATGCTTAAATATTATAAATAAACATATTTAAAATGAGAATAGATAGAAAGTAAAAATACACACTTTTAATGAAAATTAAATAAATCTCTARAAAATCATTGATTTGGTAGAATAATATAAACTGAATGATAATCCCAAGAATTTTATTTTTTAATAAATAATAACAAGTATGTGTGAATTAAAAAAAGGTAAAAATCAGAAAACACATCAATATTAAAAAAAAACCTAATAGAAGATATATTTTCAGCAATACAAAAATATATGAAGTATTTTTGGAGAATTTCTTATAATTTATAAATTGGTCGTAATTCAATACCATACACAAGACTACAATACATACTGTAAACATTATATATTAAGACTTATGGAAAGTAGTTTATAGTTGTATGTTTCTGGTTTAAATATTTGTTTCATATAGGTATATATGCTAGTGATTATGATTTGGGGTTGATGGAWCGTAAGCAAAATGAAGGAGACGGTGATGGTGAATATACTACAGTGGGCGGCGGTGGAATTCTTTGACGCAGAGGCAATGTATTTGGAGGACTTGTCATATCATCTTTAACTTGGCGGTAATGTAGGCCGCCTAAACCATCACAGCGACTCAGCAAAGCCAGCAACAACGTTTCCAGTGCGCACAAATAACCCAATACCTGGTTAGAGGTGTAAAGATACACAAAATGGTTTTAAAAAAGTTTCAATAGTCTGATTGAAAATACTTACTGCAGCMACGAGCAATTGATGACGTGTAGTACGTGGTACCCATGTATAAAACTCATGAAATGAATATACTTGATGAAGGACTAGCGAGGAGCTTGTGAGACACAATATGGTCATCATGACGTAGAACAGTACATTCTAGTGTGGTAAATTAAACAAACGTTCAGTTGAAGTCATAAACACAGTGATGTAAATTGTAATAGTAGGTACTCAGCTAACATGCTTACCAATTTTCCCCAGTTGAACGGAAATAAGTATACGGTGTGTGTGACGTCCAAAAAAAGAATAGCTCCAGTCACTAGAAAATTGAACAATGTGACAAACAGTATGAACCGTATGCGATTAAGCATTGGCAACATGAACAACGCCAACCTGGAAGTGCCGGCAAAGCACAGGCATAACATGCACAAGACACAGGTGACCTGGAAAAAGACAATATGTTACAATAATAATTAGACTTTTCAGTATATGTATAACACGTAACTCTTATTTTCAAACGGAACAATAATAATTTGTGTAAATTGAAGGAAGGAATAATAATCAAATACTAGGGTTCGGAAGTTAAAGGAGTTGCATGTTATTCTGTATGCTCTCAATTTATAGCAGATACATACCAACCCAAAAATCCGAGCTTTACAATTTTGAGTTTGAAAATTGWAAATTAAAAATGCATATTTTGCGTATTTCGTTATAATTTTAGTGAATTAAGTTAATATATTCGTCGATTTTRATTGATCTTCGCATATATTATATTTTCTAAAAAATTAATTGATTTTAAATTATTTATTTCATATTTCAAAAATAATGAAAATATATTTGTTTAACTATTTTTTCAGTTCAATAAAATCTCAAATGCCAACCGATTACGCGCCATATTTTAGTTTTAATATAATTTTTTTAAATATAGGTTTTTAGATTTTTTTCGTGTATATTATATAAGTGTATATAAATAAGTAAAAACTTTTAGTAAATAAATAAATATTTTTTTTTGTGCATATTTCACAATGTGAAATTCGCATGTTTTCATGCATATTTTATAATTTATTCGTTTATATTATGCCTTTTTTGGCTTCTTTAATAACTTCCGAATCATAGTAATGACGTACCTATAGTATAATAAATATATACAATTTAATCGTTTTAATTTTGTAAACTATTAAATTTGTACTTATCGGAATTTTCGTCTTACTGAAAAAAATGTGCTCGGTAATTTAGTGAAAGAAAAACGAGTCTGGAATTTTTGACATATACGGATGATTATGTGTAACTGACACGTGACGGTACAAGGAAACAATTGCTCACCAACAGTAGTACTCGGATGACGCCCGACGGTGTCTTCATTGGCCTCTTGTCGTAGTGCAACACCACCCCGTTGTATCTGGCCCTAGACGCCTCTTGGTGTTTGTAGTTGGCGTGCGAATCCCACGATCCCGGTGTGCCCGCCATGCTGTTGGTGACTTCCAGCCACGAGCCTCCCGTCTGGCTGCCGTTGATCTCAAACTCTTGTTCGTCGTCGATAGGAGCGATGTTGCCCTTCGGTTCCAAGTCGTGGATCTCTTCGAGCAGCACCGATATTTCGTCGCTAACGTACAGGTCTGACACGGAACTCAATTGGGCTGGGCCCCGCTGCATCACTGTTCTGCAGGCACCTGGTACACCACCTGTTATACATCACACCGCCCATCGTCCAGTATRATAAGATTCTCGTCATAATAATATTATTACAATTTTTTACTATAATAATATACTCGTGTTTCAAAGTTTCGGCAAGACGATACAAATCAAAGTGAAACATTCTTCCAACACAGAAAACGCGGTCATGCGAGGAAAAAAAAGCTAAATAAAAAAAATCGAAAACAATAACAATAGGTAACAATAAAAATAAAGAATCTTAAATACATGTATGATAAACAGCCAGACCACACTCGTCCTGTTAATATAGTTATAATACATTGTGTACGTATACCTACCATRCTCACAAAACATAAATATWATATTATTTTTACAATATAATAGGTGTGATGCTTACGGCGAAATGGAGAATGCTCAAAGTTGTACAATATTATGTCTTATTACAAAGATGGTCTGTTCCGTGGCAGAGATAGTATACATTTAAACATCGTCCCCAGAGACGACCAAGCGTGCGGTGTAATACATAATKTTATTAAAATATGTTTTATTGAAGTTTAATAGGTAAGTTGTACACGTGACGGCTACAGCCTTTTGCCGATGTCGGTCAAATGAGCCGAACACAAGCATGGCGACGGCTGTGTCATTTACGCGGAAAGGGTCGCACATGACGATGCACGCATAAACTGACTAATGGAAAACTGTACATCGTTCAAAAGCATTTCGTATGTAGAGTAATAACGAAGGGGGTTGTTAGTTCRATGACCGAACCTTTTGAATTATAAATTTCTCTGGGGAGAATGCGAATATAGATAAAAAACACGCGACTGACAAAGAGAGATGTCTATATATATATATAAAACACGACCATGGCAGCAAAAGCATTTTTAATGGARCGGTATAGTTGTTTTCGACCGATCYGTTTGATCGCATTAATTCTATTAATATACATTAAAGTTATTCAATCTACTACACAACACTCAATAATTGTTTCAAACGGTATTTTAATCAAAGTCTAAAGTTGAAACATTTTCATTTAAAAAATAATATTTGTATTTAAAAAATTAAAACACTACCTTGAATTGTTTAACCACAGTTTTTATTCCGAACGTATTATTTCTTGTACCTACAAACTGATTCCTCACATATGCACTAATTGTCACTTGTATAAAGTATAATAAATTCATAGCCGAGTTTAAGATTAKTCAACTTCTACCTAACAAGTACCATGTTAATATTAAAGTCAACATAAAATATAATGTTTCAACATTTAATATGAAGCTGTCGAGGTAATATATTTTACTTAGTAGTTTCGAAAATACCAATCGTCACAATAATTTTTTTAGAAGCATWTTTATTTTTACTACCTACCTAGAGGATAGGTTGTCAATTGAGTTAATTGTTTTATTAACGTATACGAAATGGAAAGTATTGATTGTATCGACAAAAAAATTACRATAGTGTAGTATTAAAAGTATTGACTTTATTTTTAAACCAATAAAAATAATTCGCATATTAAATATTTAAATAAAACAAAGCATGTGATAACAACAAAATAAAATAAATAATGTAGATATAGGTACAATGTAAATTTGAAATACACGTAACATAAAATAAGTAGGTATAAATAGTGCTTATTTTAAATCAAATAACAATATTATAAGGACCTATGCATACAATAAACATGGGTTATTAATCATTATTATTTTATACAATAATAATACAACGGTGTTTCTTATATATATACCTACCTACTTAGGTATTAACCAACTATAAAATTAATAAAATCCCAATCAGAGTTATACGACTAAAAGACATTTTAATAATAATAGATAATAACCTAACTAACACAAAAATAACGGCAGAATATAATATTTCGGTGATCGGAATCGTCGGATAATTATAACTTAGGTAAGTAAATGACTTTTTTGTTTTAATTACTCACTGGTTTATATAAAAAAAAAAAA